AGGGATACATTGCAGGCCAGTCCGTGAGGGATACATTGCAGGCCAGTCCGTGAGGGATACATTGCAGGCCAGTCCGTGAGGGATACATTGCAGGCCAGTCCGTGAGGGATACATTGCAGGCCAGTCCGTGAGGGATACATTGCAGGCCAGTCCGTGAGGGATACATTGCAGGCCAGTCCGTGAGGGATACATTGCAGGCCAGTCCATGAGGGATACATTGCAGGCCAGTCCGTGAAGGATACATTGCAGGCCAGTCCGTGAGGGATACATTGCAGGCCAGTCCATGAGGGATACATTGCAGGCCAGTCCGTGAAGGATACATTGCAGGCCAGTCCGTGAGGGATACATTGCAGGCCAGTCCGTGAGGGATACATTGCAGGCCAGTCCGTGAGGGATACATTGCAGGCCAGTCCGTGAAGGATACATTGCAGGCCAGTCCGTGAGGGATACATTGCAGGCCAGTCCGTGAGGGATACATTGCAGGCCAGTCCGTGAGGGATACATTGCAGGCCAGTCCGTGAGGGATACATTGCAGGCCAGTCCACAAGGGGTGGCGTGAGGGATACATTGCAGGGCTTGCGCCCTTTACCGTTTTAAACTCAAAACCGTGATTTAATTGTGTCATGCCTTTTTGCCAATTGGCCATGGGGGATTTATGAGATTCACTGGAAAATTGTGTCTGGGCATCAGGCACGTTTTTCAAATTCTCGATAATATCCGTGTCTAAATGATGTAAAGTATGTTTAGGCAGTTAAGAAGTGAGGATACAAGCTGCCTATTTTGGTGGTCAGTGTGCATCACTATCTCAGGGTGGCAGGGCCGTTGATTTTGTTCTTAAATATTGTATGTGTATAAATCTACATCTAATAATAGGGTTTTTCCCCTTTTTTCTGGCAACAAAACTGAAACCTTTTTACAAGGATTCATGTCTGCATTAACCACAATACCTGCAGTCAAAGTGCAAACAAAAAACATACTATGATAATATATGATAATATATGCATTGTCCTTGAAACTGATTGGTCCACATCAAGGGACGGCTTTTTTGAGCCTCGACCCAATTGGTGCTCGACCAGATGACGACACAAGGCGTACAGCTCAAAGACAATGCACTATCAAAGTAATGAGGGCTCGGGGTGAGCATCTACATCATTAGACCTCCTTTGCCAGTACCAAAATGTAATAATAGGGGTTTTTTCCTTCTTTCTGGCAACAAAACTGAAACCTTTTTACAAGGATTCATGTCTGCATTAACCACAATACTTGCAGCTAAAATGCAAAACAAAACACACTGATAATATGATTCATTGTCCTTGAAACGGATTGGTCCACACCAGAGAAAGCTTTCTTTAGAGCCTCGTCTCAATTGGTGCTTGACCAGAGCATTTTGACTGCAGGTATTGTGGTTAATGCAGACATGAATCCTTGTAAAAAGGTTTCAGTTTTGTTGCAAGAAAAAGGGGGAAAAACCCTATTATTAGTGTATAAATCTGTTGTAATGTTCACGTTTATTGAGACACTCCACTCATGCTCACACTCAGGGCTGTTGTTCATTTGGAATGTCCATACGTTGCTGGCAAGGCTTGTCCCGTTTGAGTCTAAAGGGACCTCAAAATACACGTTTAATGAGAAGTATTTTTTTCCTCTGTATATGTTGAAAATAGTGAAAGCAACTTCTATCTGCATAGATAATAAGATACATTTGCCAGGTGACTTCTCATCTAGTATTTCATAAGTGGACAAACTGCTAAATGTATAGCAAATGGATGACAGACGTGCACGAAATAATATACTTATCCATGAAACTGTGGACAATAGGATGAATCTGTGAAAAGCACGTAGTAAGAGTTGCAGTAGTGCTGTAGCATAAGAGGTTAAACAGTTCCCTTGGTTGGGGTGGTTCCTTCAGTCTGCATCATGTGCTTGTCCAATAGATTATTTGTACATTTAAACAACACTTGCACACTCCTGAATAAATACACAGTTCATGGTATTAATATCCATTAGTTGGATGAAAATGATTATTTTGCTGAAGAGAAAAAATATATATCCATAATGGATTCAAAGCTATGGCTTTTCACGGTCAATTTGTAAACTAATTTGTATACCATATTCTGTGGTCTGTTGCACAGTATTTGTTTCAATGAATGTATTTCATATAACAATAGGTTTTACCCTTTCTGGAAATAAAACAGGTGTTAAGATGTCAAAATACCAACCAGAATCCTTTTTCAAGAAATGCTGACTGCATTAACCACACGTACTTGTGGTGAACATACAAACAAAAACACATGCTCTGATAATATATGCATTGTCTCTGAAACTGATTTGGCTATAATGAATGGAATAGCTATAATGAATGATCTGGCTATAATGAATTACCTGGCTATATTGAATGACCTGGTTATATTGAATTACCTGGCTATAATGAATGATTTGGCAATATTGAATGACCTGGTTATAATGAATGATCTGGCTATAATGAATGACCTGGCTATAATGAATGACCTGGCCTAAATGAATGGCATGGCTATAATGAATGATCTGGCTATGATGAATGACCTGGCTTTATTGAATGACCTGGCTATATTGAATGACCTGGCTATAATGAATGATCTGGCTATAATTAATGATCTGGCTATATTGAATGACCTGGCTATTATGAATTACCTGGCTATAATGAATGACCAGGCTATATTGAATGAACTGGCTATAATGAATGACCTGGCTATATTGAATGACCTGGCTATAATGAATGACCTGGCTATAATGAATGACCTGGCTATATTGAATGAACTGGCTATAATGAATGACCTGGCTATATTGAATGACCTGGCTATAATGAATGACCAGGCTATATTGAATGAACTGGCTATAATGAATGATCTGGCTATAATGAATGACCTGGCTATAATGAATGACCTGGCTATAATGAATGACCTGGCTATAATGAATGACCTGGCTATAATGAATGACCTGGCTATAATGAATGACCTGGCTATAATGAATGACCTGGCTATAATGAATGATCTGGCTATAATGGATGACCTGGCTATAATGAATGACCTGGCTATAATGAATGACCTGGCTATAATTAATGACCTGGCTATATTGAATGACCTGGCTATATTGAATGACCTGGCTATAATGAATGACCTGGATATAATGAATGACTTGGCTATATTTAATGATCTGGCTATAATGAATGACCTGGCTATAATGAATGATCTGGCTATAATGAAAGACCTGGCTATAATGAATGATCTGGCTATAATGAATGACCTGGCTATAATGAATGGCCTGGTTATATTGAACGATCTGGCTATAATGAATGATCTGGCTATAATGAATGACCTGGCTATAATGAATGACGTGGATATATTTAATGATCTGGCTATAATTAATGACCTGGCTATAATGAATGACCTGGCTATAATGAATGACCTGGTTATAATGAATGATCTAGCTATAATGAATGACCTGGCTATAATGAATGACCTGGCTATAATGAATGACCTGGCTATAATTAATGACCTGGCTCTAATGAATGACCTAGCTATAATGAATGACCTGGCTATAATGAATGACCTGGCTATAATTAATGACCTGGCTATATTGAATGACCTGGCTATATTGAATGACCTGGCTATAATGAATGACCTGGATATAATGAATGACTTGGCTATATTTAATGATCTGGCTATAATGAATGACCTGGCTATAATGAATGATCTGGCTATAATGAAAGACCTGGCTATAATGAATGATCTGGCTATAATGAATGACCTGGCTATAATGAATGGCCTGGCTATATTGAATGATCTGGCTATAATGAATGACCTGGCTATAATGAATGACCTGGCTATAATGAATGATCTGGCTATAATGAATGACCTGGCTATATTGAATGACCTGGCTATAATGAATGACCTGGATATAATGAATGGAATGGCTATAATGAATGACCTGGCTATATTGAATGATCTGGCTATAATGAATGACCTGGTTATAATGAGTGACCTGGCTATAATGAATGAGCTGGCTATATTGAATGACCTGGCTATAATGAATGACCTGGCTATATTGAATGACCTGGCTATAATGAATGACCTGCCTATAATGAATCACCTGGCTATTATGATTGAAACTGCCTATATTGAATGCAACTGGCTATATTGAATGATCTGGCTATAATGAATGACCTGGCTATAATGAATGACCTGGCTATATTGAATGACCTGGCTATTTTGAATGATCTGGCTATAATGAATGACCTGGCTATAATGAATGATCTGGCTATAATGAATGATCTGGCTAAAATGAATGACCTGGCTATAATGAATGACCTGGCTATAATGAATGACCTGGCTATAATGATTGAAACTGCCTATATTGAATGCAACTGGCTATATTGAATGATCTGGCTATAATGAATGACCTGACTAGAATGAATGAGCTGATTAGAATGAAAACATCGTTCGAGGGAGGGAAATATCCACTGCGCAAACTGTTTTTCACCAAATAATCGATGGCCTTTATCGCCATCTGGTGTTGATGATGTTAAAATGCTGCAACATAATTTTTCACAATGGACATCACGTTCATTTGCCCCACAATCAACATGATCAGTGTTAAACATCGCCATTATTTGTACATTTTTCCCACATTTATTCAAATACTTGTATGAATTGTCTGCTTATTTGGCTTCTACACTAAATGTATCTGTGTATATATTAATGTAACATTATATACAGCTTTTTGGATAAGTTTTGGGGAACACCATATATAAAAATACGTTTTAACACGCCTGAAGCGACATTGTTCAGTCTGAAGTTATTTTTTTTGGTGTGTGTGTGTACAAATGCGTCTCGGTTATCCGTGTATAAATAATTGCTCAATGGTTGAACAAAGTTTCAAAGTTTCCGATCGAGTAGACACAGTGACGCGTGGTGTCGTCTCCTGGCAACATCAACACGCGACACTAACTTTAGCGCATGGGTGAGTGCACATTTGCATCAACAAACCACGTTCGGAACAATACACACTTGACCACACCAACACGCGTGCCCTGCTGTGGTACTCGCGCGACATCTAAAGCCAGTTGGACAGCAAATTTTTTTGTTGTTTTTGTATAGTTGAAATCGTGCGACCGATTTGCTGTTTCCTTTATCTGAACAATTACACATCAGTAGTGTAAAGTTGAAATATGACTTCACATTACATTATTTTGATCATTGAAACAAATTTGTTGAAGTGTATTACTTCATAGTTTGGTATGATGTAATAATAAATTCGTTTAACACGTAGGCTTTCGCGACCAATCTTCTCCATAATTACGTTTTTTTCTGGGTAGATCGCGTACATATAAATGTGTCGATAACCCAACACCGTCCGACACAGCCAATTTGTTAAGGTTCGTCATATATAAATTGGTGAACGCTCAAGATGGACAGTTGTCAGAGTCGGGCTGTGCTGAGTGGACAGCTCCATGGTAAGCTCAGACCCATGAGACTGAACAGTCAGAACATGCAGCCGAGAGAAGGAATGGGACTGCAACGCTTGCGTCAGACGAGCTACTTTGGTGAAGCTCCCAGCTCGGAAGGTCCCCTTCGGAGGCAGGCGAGAGAGTGGCAGGAGACGGAGGAGCAGAGAGTGAGCGACACGCAGGTGAAGAATGCCCTCCATCGCGTGATTCATGCGCAGAAGAACAGGCAGCTGGATGAGACAAAGGAAGAGCTGGAACGCATCAAGTGCAGAGTTGATGCGGTACGTTGCCAATGAAAATATATACTGTATGATTTTATGAGATATATGTGTGTGACTGTATATGCATATGTGCAGCGTATTTTTAGATCTCATGAATTTAAGGGTATTTATCGAATGTTGTATTTTCGGGGACGTATGATAAATGTCCATGTCCCACTGTTTTATACATCATGTTCATGTCATACCATTTAGACATTACGTAAAAAAATACAGATTATTTCCCATATTGTACTTGTTACATTAATCTATCCAATTCAAGGCTATTTGTTGAATGTGGATGAAACCCATGACATAACAATTATGCTTGTGGCATTTTGTGGCATGCCCTTTTAAAGACTGTGGAGGCGTACGAAGAGAGTAGCCGGCAAGTCTTCGATTCGTACAAAAGCAGGGCGAGCATGAAGTTTCTGGAGGACCTGGTATTTGCAACACTTAAAACACATAAGATGCATGTAACATTGATCAACCTAACACCGAAATAACTGGCATCTGTGAGGCTCTCAATCCATATGCACTCTTACGGCATGTCCTTAACTTTTCTTCAATAAATATCTTGATATGTATACATTGGCCAGTATGTGTGTATGTTGAACTTCTTTCGCACCGCACATAGCCAGCCGTGCTAATCGGAGGTGCGGTGACGGATGTACGATCACACAACCCCACACGACATGGGGAGGTCTTGTTCCAGCAGCGGATTGATTAAGGGCGCTACATTTACATAATCCAACAAGCAATACGATTTTAACAATCAACCAATATCAATTCATTAATTGGCTAAATTAATACTTGACTGATGTTAGCTTTGGCCTGGAATTTAATCTGGTTGTTGGGTTCACAGTGATGTGCACGAACCACTGCTCCATCTACACTAAAACTTCAACTAAAGTTGTTATTTTACCAGGTAAGGCCCACTGAGCTATATAGCTCTTTTACAGAAGGGACTTGGCCACAAATGACAGCACAAAGAAGTGGCTTATCACGTGGACATTTATAGCAGCCAAATACTTTAAAAGCATGTTTATAAATGTGGAAGGGAAAACCGGAGGACCCGGAGTAAAATGCACTCGACCACGGGCTGAACATGCAAACTACAAATATACAGCAGGTGTCAGGTGTCGGGATCGAACCCACGACGTACTGCACACCAGGCGAGGTAGTTAACATCTCGCCACCGCGGCGCGCTATGTCCATCTGCCAATGTCCACTCGGGTCGTGTATTCAATTAAATTATTAAAGCTCCCTTTACCTTTCACATACCGAGCACGTAACATGGCCATTGAGTAACAAACATGACTGTGGTTGCAACCGTGCGTGCGCGTCGTGTGCTGCAAGGATCAGCTGGAGGGCCTCCTGTCGAACGTACTGGACAGGAAGAGGTACGAGCAGCAGGTGACCGTATTCATCGTGGGCTTTCAGGAGACCTGTGATCAACAAGAGCAGGTCCTGACCCAGCTGCATGAGGTGAATCCTCCTTTGTGATACGCGAGGACGGGAACGTAGCAACAGCAGGAAAATGACTGAGTGAAAGTTTATTTCAGCTAAAACATGACAAAATGGTCGGAATGATGATTGACATAAGCTCTGCTGCGTTCCATTGCGATATATAATCATACGGTATAAAATGATACGATACTGCAGACATGCAGTATCGAAGAAGGGGAAGTGGGAGGAGTGGCGGGGGGGGCTGAAGGCCAATGAGACCCCCCCACCCCCTCTTTATTATCAGTTAAGCGATGGGCATTGTAGCCTTTCCTTAAACATAAGGAATGAGAACTAGAGCAAAATGCATGATCGACGAAAACAGGTCATCACATCGTTACTCGTTTTGTCCGGTGTTTAAAATTTGAAGATCACGCAGCAGGGCTGCTATGCAGTATGGCCAGTGTTTGATTTTCGCTTTTCAAATGGTTTATGAATTGTTGCATCGTTCATCGGCCGTGTGTTTTACTCTGCACTGAAACACAGTTCTTCAGTAAGAATTCACGTTTTCCTTCGGATTATGAAGAGACCGTTGACAGAGATGTTCTTGACTTTGACGACTCCACTGAAAAGGTATGGGATTTCAGTCCCTGCAGAGAATGTAATTGCACCTGCATTTTTGTAAGTAAATCAGCCTACACGCTTATAAATAGAAAAAATGGAAAATAATTGTACACACGATTTTTTTGTTTGAAATGTACTTAGATAATTTGTCTGCTTATTAACAATACATTGTGCGAACTGTAATGGATAAAAACAAGTATTGTATATGTGAAGGGCTTTTCACAACTGTCATTTTTTATCTACCAAGTAACATTTGTCATCAATGTGATCTTACACCAGGTTCAGGAAGCACTGCTCTCTGCTGAGAATGCGACCCAGAGAATGCTTGACCTTAGTAAGGAGATGATGTCCTATCTGAGCTTCCTTGATTCAAAAGGAACAAAAAAGTAAACCTACTTTTACAAATATATTTCACATCCATTCATTAATGCAGTAAAACGCCTATTAGTTGCTGTCCTATTACCTGCTCTTCCGATTATCCACCCCCGCACTTTGATTCACGGATCTTCCTATTATCCGCACATCTATTTACTTGTATTAAATACATTTAAAAAAAATCGGTGATAAAACACTAAACCCAGAAATTGTAGCAAGTTAATTATATTACTAGTTCGTACCTGGGAATTTGACCCAACCAGATGTTATCCAGAAGTCATCTCCCACGAGTATATTATTCATCCTATTATCTGCGCTTGAGCATAGACCAGAAGAGTCACCTGGAAGGGGTGGCATATTTATCCCCATTTATGAATGGTATTCCCTGTGGATGTAAGCAGACTTGAATTGACCAGGAAGGAAGTGATCCGTTGGCATTATCTATGATCTGAATTCACCCATGCTACGTTGTGTGGATTAGCATAACATGCACGATAAAAATAGGAGGGAATAGGATTTCCCCATAGTGTACCCTAATATCAGCAGAATCGGGATGTTTCACTCTAATCGATCCTATACAGAAATGGTGTCTGAGTGTATCTGAATTTTAAGCAACTTTTGCTGTTGGTGGAAACGTTTCAGCATTTACTGATGTAGACAATGACAAACATTCATGAGGTCGTAGTTGATGGATTGAATAGCTTTCCGCATGACCCAGATGTGTGCATTTTTCCTGTACAGGCAAAGAAGGATGCCTCCTTGCAAGTCATTCTTAAGCATCAAGCCATTACCACTTGGATGTGTGTTGGGAATGTGTGCTGCAGTAATGTTTGGTATTTGACCCAACAATAATTAACTTATATACGTAGATGTTTTATGTAGTGGAATAGATTGCTACTTGCATTTACTTCATAAACTCTAAAGCAATGCTTGATCATTTTTAGTAAGCTTGCGGTGAGCACATTTGCAACTCTGGTCGTTGAAATAATGTCGTGAGACCTGTGTGTGGTGTCGAGCTTTCTTCGTAGTATATTCGGTTCAGAGAACTTTGACGTTGCTTTGGCGATAGTGCATCCCAGGAAACATGCGACGTTGGTATGCGATTTGAGCCATTGGGCCAAACGCTGGCCAAACGCTCCATGTTTATTGGGATTGGGTGTGCTTTGTTTATTTAGTTGTAACACGGGCGATGGCACTTTCTTAACCTATATACTGTGACCGTCAAAGTTGGGAAATGCATGGCAATGCTCGGTTAATGGCAGTGGTTAATTAATTGTAACGTTCGACAATGCTCAAAACTATTATTTTCCGCAAAATGTGTGTTCTTTTAAGGAGTTTCAAATGGAATTAGTTGCGTACGATAATATTAACCAGACATGTAATAATTCACTGCTCTGGCAATTAATCTACATGTTTGATTCTGGGTGACAATTTTACTGAAGCATCCATGCTTTTTGGATCGTTGTAATGGTCTAGTTTCTATTGTTTCTTGTTTTAATACAAGTTTGTTTGCTTAAACATTAAAATATAGCCTAGACAAAGTTTAAAATATGATCTGCCTACACTACATATAATCGATACTTGCACAATTCGATGCATGTAGAATTTAACGCGTTGTTGCATGCCTCATATTAACTGAATGTTTTGCAGCGTTAAAAAGCGTGACTCATATCATCCCCCTTGAGAGATTGCACGTTGTGGATTGTACTAAGCAGTACGGAAGTGCACGTTTAATGTCCATGATGCCACCAGAGGGCGCAAGAGGATAGAAAAAGCCTTGAATCAGGCCAAAGATGATGTTAACCAGCTGACTGAGAAGCTTCTGGCAGCTTATAAGGGTGCGTTGTTTCTTGGTACTTTTTTTTTAGAAAAAGTGAAATTAAATGGAGCCAAATACAATCAATGTTAAGGCAACTGGAATGCATTGAGTTCTTTATTTTTATATGAGCCACCCCCATTAACGTTTACAATGTGTTTTTTCAAAAGGCATGGAGCAAAACGATGAGAACTTGAAGGCACTTTTGAAACAGAATGAAATCAAAACTCTGGAGAGCCAACATTTCAGAACCCATGCTATTGCCACAAAGGTAATGATTAAACACGACAGTACTGTGCCGTACTGTCGTGTTTTTAATACTGCACGGAATAAGTTGTACCTAAATAATTCTGCTGTTTTTTTTAAATCGAGGAGCATGAAATCTATTTCAAATATTGTAAAGAATAAAACATATTTGATACCAAGCTGCTTATGGTGTCGATAAAAAAATGCGTGTTTTTTTACATTTTGTGAATTGAAATAATAGCAGTACCAAGAACAGGAATCGTAAATATTACCAGAAGTTAAGACTGAATAATTTCCACGACAAAACTGCTTTTGGAACAGTAACATTTGCACTGTGCAAAACCGGATTAAAATCGACAGGGCAGCCCAGTTCAGAAGCCAAATGTTGGAAGCAGATGCTTCTCTTCGCGACTCGTCTTACGATGTTTCGAGGACTTTGTTTTATTTGTTTCTTGTGCCGATCGTGAAGAGAACGCTGGAGACGTGTCAGCAGGACTGGGAGGTTCAGAGAACTCTACTGCAGCGACAGGTGGCCACAGCCGCTGCACGGGCCCAGGAGACCGATGAGGCCCATTGCCAGGCTACAGCCCAAGTGGAGAGCCTCATGCGATTGGTAGAGGAGCAGGCCAAGCAGCTGGAGGTAATGCAAAGAGCAACACGCAAAGGTGTGCTCACAAACAGCAGGAAGATATGGCTCCCATCGTGCCTTGCATACGGGCGTCTTGTGACCACCACAGTACATGCGTTGATGCTACCAAGCCATGGATTTGAGTTAGGTGGTGGTAAATGCGTTTGAAGTCTTGAGTTAACGGGCATTTCCACGACGTAACCGGGGATACTCGGAGGTCAGCGTTCTGCACTGGGCACCGCTGAGATCCTGGGTTCGAATACGGGTTTATTTACCGCCAATAATTAAACTGGGTTCTCGAGCATAGTGAGTTAGTTGTCTCAGCCCGGTCACCAGTAACAGCACAAAATAAACCATGGCCAAATTCCAGTTCGGAAAATGTAAACATTGGTATGACTTGTCACGTCACAATCCATATACTCCCTTATGGCAGAGTGGGTGGGAAAGTAACTGATTCCTGAGCGGACCAGGTGTCACTTGAAGAGACCACAAAGCTAGCTCATGTGATATCCGCTTACATATCACAGCAAGAGTCATGTGATGTCCACTTCCATATCACAGCAAGAGTCCTGTGATATCCGCTTCAATATCACAGCAAGACTCCTGTGATATCCACTTCCATATCACAGCAAGAATCATGTGATATCCGCTTCAATATCACAGCAAGAGTCGTGTGATATCCACTTCCATATCACAGCAAGAATCATGTGATATCCGCTTCCATATCACAGCAAGAATCCTGTGATATCCGCTTCAATATCACAGCAAGAGTCCTGTGATATCCACTTCCATATCCCAGCAAGAGTCCTGTGATATCCACTTCCATATCACAGCAAGAGTCCTGTGATATCTGCTTCCATATCACAGCAAGAATCCTGTGATATCCGCTTCCATATCACAGCAAGAATCCTGTGATATCCGCTTCCATATCACAGCAAGAATACTGTGATATCCACTTCCATATCCCAGCAAGAGTCCTGTGATATCCACTTCCATATCACAGCAAGAGTCCTGTGATATCCGCTTCCATATCACAGCAAGAATCATGTGATATCCGCTTCCATATCACAGCAAGAATCCTGTGATATCTGCTTCAATATCACAGCAAGAATCATGTGATATCCGCTTCAATATCACGGCAAGAGTAATGTGATATCCGCTTCCATATCACAGCAAGAATCCTGTGATATCCGCTTCCATATCACAGCAAAAGTCCTGTGATATCCGCTTCCATATCACGGCAAGAGTCCTGTGATATCCGCTTCCATATCACAGCAAGAGTCATGTGATATCCACTTCAATATCCCAGCAAGAGTCCTGTGAGATCCGCTTCCATATCACAGCAAGAGTCATGTGATATCCGCTTCAATATCACAGCAAGAGTCCTGTGATATCAGCTTCCATATCACAGCAAGAGTCCTGTGATATCCGCTTCCATATCACGGCAAGAGTCCTGTGATATCCGCTTCCATATCACAGCAAGAGTCCTGTGATATCCACTTCCATATCACAGCAAGAGTCATGTGATATCCACTTCAATATCACAGCAAGAGTCCTGTGATATCCGCTTCAATATCACAGCAAGAATCCTGTGATATCCACTTCAATATCACAGCAAGAGTCCTGTGATATCCGCTTCAATATCACAGCAAGAGTCATGTGATATCCGCTTCCATATCACGGCAAGAATCCTGTGATATCCGCTTCAATATCACAGCAAGAATCCTGTGATATCCACTTCAATATCACAGCAAGAGTCCTGTGATATCCGCTTCAATATCACAGCAAGAGTCATGTGATATCCGCTTTCATATCACAGCAAGAGTCCTGTGATATCCGCTTCCGCACTGCTGTGCAAGAGATCGGAATCAATGCTTCGCCTCGTGCCATGATGCCGATGGCACAAATTTGGGGAGAAACGACAGCATTTTTATCGTGAATTTATGAACAAAAATATAAAGGGTTTAGATATGTTCCGTTGAGAAGTTTGGAACTCTTTACCGCAATTCACAGATCGACATAGGGTCATCTTTTTCAGAAGCTTTAAGGAAAACAGAGGAAATGTAATTTGAACCAAGGTGCTTTGTTGCCCAAAATGTGGGAAACTTATATTTTGCCTAAACTCACATTCGCCCATTTAGCGTAAATACTGTATAAAGCACGGTAAAAAAAATACTACTGGTGCTTAAAAAAAAAATCTGGTACGATTGACTTTATACAGTGCACCCATTGTTGGGATATGAAACGATTCACTTTTAGAACTTCCAGGAAATTATTTCAGATGAGTCATTATGGACAATGCATTAATCTGTGAGATGATGTTAAAGAGTTTTGCTTGTGGAAATTGGCAAGCAGAAGAGCATCATTAAACGGTAATGACACATTCTCTTGTGTAAACTGTAATCAGGCCAGCCTACTATTAAATGTTATTACGCATCAGACATTTGTGATTCAATGAGGCCATGTACACCGATATCCATGCTATCTTGTACATTCCGTGCACGATCTCCGAATCTCACGAGTAATGTTGGAATTGAATTACCGCGATGACAAACTATAAATGCTTCCTCCTCTATTGCTCACAAATGTGTGTCCATCTTATTTATTACACGTTGTCAAATTTAAAACGAGGCGTTATTTCAAGTAATATCCACCAGGTGGCAAGCTATTACCTGAACGCGGACTATTTCAGAGATACACTACGGCTGCATGCCTTTCATACATTTCACACTTGTGGACTTTTTCCAAATCAATATTTCCCCCTAATGTTCTAAAAGAACTGCAATTTTGTGATCTAATTGTCAATAGACAGTGAATGGATTCCAAGCTACTACACACAGACGTGTTTTGTAATAGTCCACAGTATTTAAAACAAATCAAATGTTTCTTGTAACATATACAAAATCCTTCGTCCTACTTCAGTTGATAATATGTTGCATTTGTAAGCATTTAACAAAATAAGCAATAACAACAGGATTGTATTTGTCACTCGGTTTAAACGCTTTCTGGGCACCCTGTCATTCTGCATAAGCTGTTATCAAGGTGAATTCTGCTCTCAGCCACCAGCAAGATCAATAAGTCAGAAGTATGATGTTAACATTTTTGCAAGAGCCACACTCCTCTTTGAAGGTTGGACCACGCCAACAGGTAATTCAAACCTCCGATTGTGTTTTGTTCAAACTGCTCGCACTAAGTACGGACAGCAGAGGGTTTTTTTGCATTTTCTGACAGTTGTTTTCTGTCTCAGCAGGCAGTCGGGGCATTTCCGCACGCAGGTCAAGTGTTAACAGCAAAATGGCATCCTGAAGGTAAAATACGTGCTCTGTTGAAATGGGGGATTGACAACTACGGCTGCACTGTTGTGGTGTAACTCCTCAAGTATGCACGAGGATTTAGAAATTACAGGAGAGGTGTTAACGACCTCGCCTGGTATAAAGGAGGTTGCGGGTTCGATGGTGACCCCTGACGCCTGTATATTTGGAGTTTGCATGTGCTTCCAGTGGTCACGTGGATTTTTCTCCGGATCCTCCGGTTGTTCCCTCATTTATAAACACGCGTTTAGAGTATTTGGCTGGGATACACTTCCACTTCGTTGAGCTTGTCATATTAAATAGTTTTAGTTGTAATTCTTTAAATGCATCACGCACGTCCTGCCTCGTAGATTTTTCTCGGTTGTGCTACACAGCTCTCCGATGTGTTCTCGGGGTTCTTTAGCACGTTGATCAACAGGATGTCCGACGATTCGCTCCCCATCCTGAGAGCATCTCCTGCTGACCAGCATGATCCTAGAACCCAGAGCCACATCGGAGAGCTTTATGCACACATTTTCCACCTGGGATATAGAGGGAAAATGTACAGTAGGTGTAGCACAATGTAATAATAAAGTACTGTTATAACATTTGAGTAATGAACAGGCCTTTGGCCATCCACTGCCGGATGAAGGCCAAATTATGCCGTATCGGTCATGTCGGTTGTTTGACCATACTTCTCCACACTGATTATTGTGGGTTGGTGATATGGTTGGCAAACAGGACCAGTTCAGATATCACTCTCCACGGATGCTAGCTACATACGGGAATCAAATTCAGCCTGCTCGGTTCGTAGTGGAGTGCACTAACTACGGCGCTTCCACTCCACCCCCCTTCCCCAATGTTTGGTAATAGGGATGAAAAGTGATGAATAGCCATGCAGTTCAAGTGCAATTTATTTCTACATTTTTAGTACGGCAAAGTCGCACTCTTTAGGGGAGTTATGGGAGGATATTTTGGCAGTGCTAATCAACTGTAAAAAAAATATGCAGGTAATTAATTTTACTGATTCCATATGCTCACCTGTACCTTATTGGTTATGGTTAGTAACTCGAGACATTTTTTTTGTAAATTGGTCAAATGCTTCTCGTAATGGATCATCTTGCTTGAACTACTCTACGCTTAATGTTGAAAAATACAAATGTGATCGCATGTCTTGATGTAACGTTCATGACATTCCTCGGTGGGTTTTTCTCCCCATAGTATCGTATCTTTGTTGTTCGTGTACGGCTTTTTTTGCATGTGAAAATGTGTTGTCTTTCCATGTGCATGCATCTGGTGTACTTTGAGAAGTACTTTATAGCAGGCCTGTCTGAGCAACGAGAGGCGAAACTAACCCCTCGTCCTTGCGTCATCAGCCCCATACTCAAGAGGTCCAATTACTTGCAATTATTGCAGCTTTAAGGAAGGAGCAGTTTAAAATATTTGTGCGAATTAGCTGATGAAAATTATTGCCACATACCCAAGGGTTGAGGGATGCGAACCGCCTGTGGATTTTAAAGCAGGGATTAAGGAGTGCATGAACGTTGTCCCCTGCTCGCTGGAGTGGAGGGTGTTTGTCTAGCTAAACGCAATTACGACCTCTCAGACCGTACAGTCGCAAAATAAAATGGATTAGTCACGCTGGCAGTTGTTTACCTTCCATTATTGCCGAGGCTGTTTGTGCAGAGCCTCGAACTGAGGTTGTACAGGACCATGGGGCCCTAACGAGCTGCGAATGAGTGCAGCGTGCCTCGTTTGAAACTCGCACTTCGTCAAAAGGAGCAGAAGCACACACAGAAGAAAAAAAAAACCCTTGCATACATTTCGTGTGTGGGGGAAAGGGGAGGGGGGCAGTTTCTACTTCAGTTGTCTGGTTTAAAAAAAAACCGAAGGCTTGTGGGAAGAACGAATAAAGATCTTGTTTCTTGTTTCCAGTGCAATCAAATTGTTGGTGACATTTGAGAGTACTGTATTCAAAAAAATTACCCATTATATGGATCGCATATAGTGTGGAATTTTGAGCAATCTTTTGACTCGGCCGTAATGCGTCTAAACGTTGACTTCTGAACTTCAAATCCCACGTGAATTGGTGACTTCAAGCCTTCTTCTCTTTCGACTATTACAATTCGTCCAGCAGACTGTTGCCTTTCTCTGCAAGCGGCAAGCGAATATACTCCGTTGCAGCTTTGTGTGCAGCCGTGAATTTAAAAAAAGCAAACAATGCTTAAATGTGCTGGGTTAAGCCAATAACAAAGGAACAGTTGTACGATTGCAAAGACCCATCTCTGCTGGCTCTGTGTTTGTGATCGGCGGTGCTGGTGCTGGTTGCGTTTAATAAAAACCGCACAGGGGCACGATGGAGAATGCCGTTGAAGGTACAAGGACTCACCAAGGAGTCTTATTTCATACGTGTCCTTGCCTCTGGCAGAACCACAAGTCTATGAAAGCCGAGATGATGCCGGGAAAGAGTCCCCTCTGGCTTTACGAGCGGAGTGCGAGCAGCCCATTCCACTGCCATTGGTACGTGCAACAATTTGCCTGACCCCCAGTTTGTACGGGCCCCCTTCGTGCCAGCAATTTTTTTCTGTTGTTGCGTTAAACGCAATGCCGTGGAAGAACAAAAAAAAACACGATGATAATGCGTCCATTGTAAAGGGCACATAACCGGGCACATAATTCACAGGGCCTGCTTGTCTGTTCTCTTGGCGCCTTCTCCTGCGAAGCAGTAATGAGAGGGAAGTTTGGGAACATGTGGCATTAGTTAGGTCAGTGCCGGCCTACTGCACCCACTGGGGGATCTTGCTTGCCAGACGAGAGGCATGCATGCATCAGCTGTTGCAATTGCTTACATTCAGACAGTTTGTTGGGTTAACCTGGATGGTATCACAATGTGGGAGCTATATAGCTTGTGCATTGTGTAAGTTCTAAGTGGAATTAGTGAATAACCTCATGTAGAGAGGGGTATGGCAGGTATTGATTTGGAGAAAATTTGGGAGGTTGACAAAATTGCATCATTCGCTTTAAATCTTGTACTTGTATTTTACTGTATTCTTAAAGGTGGAGAGATTAAATTAAAAAATAAACATGTGTGTGTGTATATATACGGTCAATATAAATACATTGTTCAATTAAACAGCAACATGTTTCATCGCATCTATAATCGGAAATACTGTTGATTATAATTTAAGTTTACTTCATTACTTTACGTACTTTCTATTATTTTTCTACACACACACAACAAAACGTTAGCAGTACCGCTGTTGACCACACGATGGTGCAGTGCACGTGAAATTCATAACATTTGCACGACAGTACCACACTGAGCCACGTTGCCACAAAGTTACTCAGAATCAAGGCCGTAATTATAATATATATTGGGGGGACACACATCCCCCCCAACATATATTGCTATTAAATATTCAAATATGCTCAAAATGCCCCCCCCCCCAATATATTGCTATTAAATAGATGTATGTTTATATGATTGAGGTTATGGTTGTACTTTTATTAATCCTTAATCTCTGCCATTACATACAATGAAACAAGAAAAGGTAGAAAAGAAAAAAAACAGAGCAATGTAATACAATATACACTATTAGACATTATTGTAAAAAATATTTATAAAAAGTCCATCCTATGTGTTAGTCAATGTTTTAATATTTTAGGCAGTAAATTCGTTTTCAAATTTAGATTTTTTTTTTTTCTCGGGGGGGGGGGGCCCAGAACCCCTGGAAGATTTGGTCCCCCCCAATGTTGACTCCAAGGCTACGGCCTTACTCAGAATGCCCCCTCTTTATCGACCACCATGCATATAACATGCCTTATAGGCTGCGGAGCCTACATTTTGGACAGCGGAGCAACATTCATTGTTGTTTCGTACATCTGCAGAGTAACCCACATGCCTCTGCTTCCTACCCACCTATAGCCTGCACTGACTTGTATAAGTTTAAAACAGGACACAAACAAAAGGCCAGAGCCATTGTGCGTATATCCAACAACAACAACATTCTTCAGCAATTCCTGGAACATTGCATTGCAGCCCGCTCCACAGTTGTCCATCACTGCATCATTGCGGCTGTCAAGTCGGTCACGTTATCTCGATGGTGATCTGAAATAATAGGACCAAAATGCCCTTCTGCAGGAACTGCCGGACGGGTTATTTCCCCCCTCCCACCACTAAGCACGAGAGCCATGTACCTTGTTTCCAACGCGTATTTTCCAGCCCGTGCTATTATCCTGCAATTATTTACGCCCCCCCTCCCACACATCATTTTACAGATTTGACTAACTGGCGTGGTTGCAGTACGGTCAAATAATCCACCACGACCCCGAAACAGCGTGGGGGGGGGGGGGTTCGACCTTCGCACAGCGATGCATTGCCAAACCAGGGTGCACGTGTGCACGACACTCGTGTTAGATTCACACAAGCACAGTGTTGTAATATTGGCGCTATCTGGCGCGCACAGTTGCTAGTGCCACCAATCCGCCAATGAACAGTGCTCGATTTTGTTCCACAGCCCTTGTTCCCTCCCGGCACGGCAAGGAAGCGAATACAATCGGGAGAGTGTGTGCATCGTGCACCGGTCCGTGTGATATTTGCGTTGAAGTTGGCTGAATTGTTAACCAAAACGCGCTGGTGGAGGGCGAGGGAAGAGGCGTTTGTGCGCCGATTTACTTCACGAGACCAACGGAACTTTTGGAGGGCTTTTAAGACAGCCGGTAACCGGCGGTGTGGGGGGCATTTACCACCCACTTCTCTGGTAGTTGTTAAGATATTAAATCGTGCATTGTTTCAAGCAAGCCTGAACTCCGCTGATGAGGCGCTTTGTACGGTGCGAAAATGAGTACGTACATGTCGAAAACCGGTCCAGCGTTGCTTGTCCTTACCGCTGCTGACATTCACTCCCATAGGCCATGACTGGTCACTGTAAAGGATACTTTCATTTTTGTCCGTGAAGAGTCTGATAGATGAATAAAACCTATTGTCTGCGTATCTATTCTATAATTAAACCGGGTTCTCAAGTGGAGCCTGCAGTTGATGGGCCCAGCTCGGTTTCCAATGACCACACACACACACACACACCAAAATCACGTAGAAATGGGCTTTTCACTTAATTTGGATAAGTTCCAACTACAGTATTGGTTTGACTGCCATGTGGTGAATATTTTTCCATTACAAGGGGTGTGGGGAAGCGTGCTTAACGATTGTGTTCTGTGGTATCTACTTCCTCGGTCTATTCTGTAACACGAGGGGTATGCATTGCCATGCTAATGGATACTTTGTATCATGACATGGTGCTGAAAGAATAATTGGAATAAACTTGGGGGGATGGAAGGGGGTGGGGAAGACAAAATAATGACATATTTAGGGATTAATATTTTACATTTGTAGGTAGTTTAATGTGTTTGCGTTGAATTGCAGTACATTTTCATCACAAATAATAATAATATGGACTTAATATTTAAATTATGGACACCCATTTATCAAACTATGTCTAAGACAGTACTGTGCTAAAATGTTTTTTTTGTAAATTAGGCTATCCGTGTGATTAAAATAAGAAAATATGAACAATGCAATTAAATAATGCAATCAATGGGTGAGGTGAGCTTTCCACTAAAGTGAAATATGTGGCATATAGGATACATGTGTTATGAGGTATATTCTTAATATCTGCTCTAACGCTATTCTGGTCTGGGGCAACAGAAGAAAACAGAATAGCATTATATTCTTAGCTCTTTCGGTAAAGTCACGTTGAAGGGAAACAATCAAATAATAAAATATATATAAAACAATAAAAATTCTCACGACGTTTCGACCATAACGCAAACGGTCATCATCAGGCATTGGTTTTTCACACCTGATGATGACCGTTTGCGTTATGGTCGAAACGTCGTGAGAATTTCGATTTAAAGCTTTCGTGACTGCAAGGATTCATCTTCTTTGGTTCTTTCGGTAAAGTAACGTAGAATGAGAATAAAAGAATAAAATAACACAATAAAATTCTCACGACGTTTCTGCCACAACGCAAGCGGCCGTCTTCAGGTGAAAGGTACAGACCTGTCGGGACGACAGACCTGTCGGGACGACAGAGCTTCAATGCTCTGTCGTCCCGACAGGTCTGTACCTTTCACCTGAAGACGGCCGCTTGCGTTGTGGCCGAAACGTCGTGAGAATTTAATTGTGTTATTTTATTACTTTATTCTCATTCTACGTGACTTTACCGAAAGAACCAAAGAAGTCGTGAGAATTTTTATTGTTTTATATATATTTTATTATTTTATTGTTTCCCTTCAACGTGACTTTACCGAAAGAGCTAAGAATATGAATTACTGCAGTCACGAAAGCTTTAAATCAAAGAATAGCATTATGTTTTTTTTATCATAAAAAATACCAGAGAAAATCACAAATTGTAAAGAAATCCCATGGGTCATCATTTTCAACAACGTATTTCCAGAAATTGCTGCCAACATAAACTGAAATTCCCCCCTCCCCCCCAAAAAAAAATCTAAATCAAATCCTTTTTGCTATTTAACCGTGTTGTGCTAAAAGCCTGAAGAGGAAACGCCGGGCGGAAAGTCATCTGAGAAGAGCAGCCCTCGCGGCGACTCTCGGCTTGCCGCAGAATCGCCGAAGAGTCCTCTTTGCGACGTATCACCGTCGCCACCGCTGGGAAGCCCGGCGAGCACCACCAGGGTGGCTCCGCGTCGCGGGGGCACCCACGGCCGACCGGGAGAGGCGGCGGTGTCCCCGAGGTGCGGCAGCGAGCCATCGGGCAGCCCAACAAGCCTCGGGGCCGTGGGTGCAAGGAGTGAAGAGGGCAGCCAATCGGAGCGGAGCAACCCCAGTCCAGTTGCGGAGGAGCGTCTGCCAGAGGAGGCAACTCGGTTGGCGGACGAGCGGAAGGATTGGGTACTCACGAGTTGCGCCCTTTCAGTTTGTTCCCCATTGAGGGAATTTAATTGAACATTCTGAAGCCCAGTCACTGTACTTTTCCGAGAGCACCACGGTGCTTGGCTTAGCCGACGCGTCAACTGCAGATGTTCATTACCGCTACAGTGCTGTGATTAAATTGCACAGCGGCTGGGACGGCTTGCGAGCAGCAACGAAAGCAATTGTAAAATGTGCCAATTAATGTACCAAGCACTCCCACTAGAGCTCAATTACACACTTTCCCAAAGGTCACAAGATCGTGCACTTCAGCGTTGTGGAACGGCCATTAATAGTTGTTAGTGAACATCAGGCCCTTTCAGTCGGACATTTTCTCGCATGTATTGATGACATTCCTGTTCCACTTAAATACCACGTACATGATGATGGGAGTTAACCTTTTTTTTACATTTGACGAGTTTAACCAATTTATGGAAAATTGGCATTTTAACGAAGGAAGAAATAAGTGGCGCACGTGCGATGCTTAATATTATTTTCTCTCTTTTTTTTAAAAAAGGCCATGGCACGCGTTCATGAATTAGAAAATGAAATTACGGGTCTGATGGAGAGCAAACAAAGAGAAGTTAAGGCTTTAAAAGAAGAACTCAGATGCTCAAACGCAAGCTGGGAAAAGGCACGTTTTGAATATTTTCTAAATTTCTATATTTTTGTATGAAAAGTATTTTTTTCAGTTTTTAAAGCACATTAATCGAGCAATACAACTCTCACTGGCCATATGGTTGTGATTTCAAGTGTAAATGCAGTTTTAAAATACCTGAAATTAAATTTTTGTTTTAGCAGACACAAATACATGCCTACAATATAAAAATAGAACACCATTTCACTTGCAGTAATTTTATTAAGTAAAAAAGAAATGCCGTGCATGATTAGACACACTGCCAACAATTTAATGACCTGTTTTTGGCTTCTGCCCATTAAGATGTACCGTTGTGCCTTGGTAAAGTGGCGGTGGCTTGTGTTGGAACCCTTAATTGTGCTGATGCGAGGTGTCTGCTTGCCAGGAGAGGCACAGTCTCAAGAAAAAAGTGAACCAGATGGTCCAGCTTCAAAAGTTCGCTCAGAAGGACTTTCAACGGTCGGCAGAAAACAGCCAGGTACAAGCAGCAGCAGCATCGCACGCAGCCACGTGTCATCCATCTTTTCTTTGTTTCACATTCTGCGTAAACAGGAGTCGAACTTGTTCTCTTCCATCACATGTCTGATAATGGAAACACAGTGATGACAAGGCAGTGCTTTCCAACTGAACGAAGCACGTACTGCATTGGCCAAATGTACTCACGGCGCTCGAGCAAATTGGTGCCAGTTTGCATTTGGTGCCAGGGGTGGTGGCGCAGTGGTCAACTCACCACGCTATGAAACCGGTTATTTGAGTTTGATTCATTGCCATGGCTAACATCGGTGGCGAGTGATATCTGAACCGGTCCTGAGCCCTCTTCCACCCTTCACCAACCTACACTGACCAAACGTCGCAAAGTCTGGCTGAACAACCACCCCCCCCCATTACCAACAGCACGAGTAGGCCTTAATGCAGCGGCGGATCGACAAATGTGGCGAGTATGCAACACTTTGACAGGTGCGCCAATAACACCGATTTAAGTTATGCATGTATAAATGTGGAACGATGACATGTACGCTTTCAGCATTTGCTGAAGTAGATAGCTGCAGAGTGTGGTAATGAAATACTTTGAGACTCTGTCTCTCTCAGCGGGACTTTGAGAATTCTTTTGGCACTGGCCCCTACAGCTAAGCCTTTTAATCGTTTCCAAACATTGGTGTTCATTTCTGAATATATTTTTTTCATCAATGCTGTCATGTATGAAGAAAAATCAATCATGCAGACTTTGGAGCCAAACTATATGAATGCCTTTCCTTGCCTTGGCGTGAACTTGGCCAAAAGTGGGATTTCAGCTGAACAATTTTCTGGTTGATCAATAAGGTGTTTTATGAGAAGCCAAAGTTGGTTAAAAAGGCACACTGTACCCGAACGTTTCCCTCGCACAAATAACCACCCTCTTTGCTCCCCTTTTTTTTGCTGTGAAATTTGTTTCAGATCTTTAAATCGCGTTTGTACTATGCGAGGTATTTCCTTTGTTGCCCAGATGCTGAACTCTGCCATTTTAATATGCCCTTGGTCCCCTAACCACGTGTCACGGCCAACTGAACAGTGCTGCTTATTGATAATAAAGAAAAAAATGTAAAGAAAATAAGTGTCAGCCCCTGCAATTGCTTGGGGCGCCACAGTGGCGAGATGTTAATTACCTCACGTGGTATACAGGAGGTTGTGGGTTCGATCCCGACCCTGACACCTGTTTATTCAGAGTTTGCATGTTTTCCCCGTGGTCACGTGGATTTTTCTCTGGGTCCTCCGGTTTTTCCCTCCACATTTAAAAATATGCGTTTAGAGTATTTGGCTGCTATACATTTCCACACAATAAGCCAATTGGTTGAGCAATCATTTGTGGCCAGGTCGCTTCTGGAAAAGACCTATATGGCTGATTGGGCCTTACCTGGTAAAATAAAAAATAAAGTTTTACTTTTATTCCCTTGCTCATGTCCCTGCTGGCAGGAGGGCCCCCGCTTGAGTGAACGTTAGAGGGTATTTGGGCCACCCTTACACGTCGACCAGATGTGTTGGAAGAAGTGGGCATATACTTGTGGCTGCACTAGGCCAGCATATGAAGAGTCAAGGCTGTTTAAATATGTTCAGCTTGAGGGGCCTATTTCTTTTTATTTAAGTTTATAATAACTGCTGTTGGGAAACATGTTTAAAAATGGTTTCATATAAAATATTGAAGTAATGTAGTTACGTTTGTTTTTTAAGTGGAACGTGCATGGTTTGAATTTATACGGAGATCACGCCGGAGTATTTTTTTGTGATTTAAATTTAATATATGGTGAATGAGCACATTTTAATTTTAGTCATTATGTTTCATTACCATTTTGGCAATGGCTAAGTTGTCGACTGAAGCACATGCGCCTCTGCTATATTCTGGACAGGCCCAGGCTGCTCAAACTAAAATCGCCGTCGCAGTGTTTGCCAACATTCTTTGAGTGTTGAATATTGCACTGTTTCTTGGGTCTGCTAATTTTTTTGCACCAAAAATCTATTGAGTTGTCCTTTGGCAGTGAGCCCATCTAAATGTTTTTGGCAATGGGATCCATGCTGTGGCCAGCTTTGCAGTTGGGGACCAATGTCAACGTTTTTTTGTAAAAAAAATATAAAATAGTATGCTTTTATATACCATGCGCCACCTACCAGTTTCAGAGGAGGAATATAAAACATGATGGTTAATGTTTTCTTACTTTAATTTTGAAAAGGTTATAAACAGGACTTTACTTTTATTCATCAGGCGGCATTTTATGCATCGACAGAAGATATACGGAAAAGATAATTCTGAGCCATTAAAAGTCAGAATTATATTTTCCATATCTGGCAAATGAGAATACAGTGTTGCTGGTTTACACATTTCACTCAGCTAATATGGCTATCATTATACCCTGTACAGTACAATATAGGATACCTTAACAGGTGCTTACCCATGCCTAGTTTTCACGGACAGTCAACTCTAGTCAACTTTAGTGCACTCGAGTTGGCCAGAACACGAGTCAAAGGACAAATCACGTTGGTTAAAAAAAAAAAGTTCCTGGTGACTCAAATCTCCATGCCAGTTAGGCAGGTTTTTCTCAGCAAAAAAACTTGTGAGTTAAAAGCTCTAAAAGATTGCAACACTGCCAAATGTAAAATGTTTATGTTAATGTATATGTTAATGTATACGCAAGGAATTCTAACTAGCCCGTGACGTGAAATGGGCCCCCCGGTCTAAAATGGCGGCCAACTGCAATTGACACAAACACACGGAGATGCTGTGGGGGTGCTCACGTTGCTTGGCTCGCGAGGCAGACAACGCGGGCAAGTACCGCCGTTGTCTGGCTCGCGAGCATGCGCAACGCGGGCGCGTGCTCATACATCGTGAGCGCGTGCAACGCGAGAACATATAACGCGAGCACGTGCTCGCGTTATATGTGCTCGCGAACCAGACGATGCGAGTACGCAATCGCGTCGTCTGGCTTGCAAGCACGCACAATGCGAGCATGTGCCTGAGTTATCTGGCTCGCGGATATGCAGAATAACAGCGCCTTCCTCAAAAGTGTATCTGGGCTACTCACGGTGAACGTTGTGTAAGTTCTGGGCAGTTGATCTTTTACTTTAATTTACCCCTCCCCCTTTAGACAGCAGTGTGTTCCTGGAATGCATGGACACACGTGGAGAGTGATGCCCCCATGAGAGAAAATAGCTCCTCTGCAGGAACTAAATACGAGCAATCATCTTCTCCCCTGGCTGGTGAAACAACTGCACCCTTTGCCCAAGACTGTCCTTCCTGTAAGTGGATACGTGTTACACTTGGTTAAAAAAACAATATCCTAAGCTTACGTTGGTCTTCAGTGTTCATTTTTCAAAACACACACACACGAGATTATTTCATTTTTCACAAACTGTGCTCAGCAGGCATGCATGGAAAGACTGAGGCACTCGTGCCTGCTGTGGAGCCTGTGTATCAAGAGTTCCTCAAAGTCTACAGCTGTACCATGAACTTCAAGGACAATGTGGTGGCATTGCTCGTCAACAGGGGTCAGTGAACGTCACCTAAGCTAACATGCAAATGTATAGATTTTACATATTTTGTTCTTGTGCTATGAAGAAGGGCCATTGATCAAGACATCACTGATTGTATATCCTCTTTTGTTTTATCTTTGAGGGGAGTGTTATTGACGAATGTCTATTCTGGTCCAGAAAAAGGTAATTTCTCTTATTTCAGTTTGACGATGATCATTAAGGCCTAGATAAACGATGCGATTAATGTGAGTGCTGATTGTATTGGTCTGGTTTGCACCACATTGATCACATGCAATTGTTCGAGCTGAAACACCTCTATTTAAGACCAAAACAAGAGGATTTCGCCACAACTCTGCCTGTCCACCTGATCATGCTCGTTGTAATTACTGGGCGAAACGTTGTACTCGAATTGTAAAGCTTGTGGGTTTACTCTGCAACACGCAGGTGTGCTGAACTAGAAACGAAATGGTCATGTTTTGTTTACGTTGACCAGCCCTTCTTAATTGGCTGTGTTGGGTGGTGGCAGGTTTAACGACACATTTATATTAACGCGATCTAACCCAAAAAACCTCTATCATGGATTGTGTGAAATGCTATCGAGTGCAATGCTGCAGTCAATCGTTTTGGAAAACAAGAAGCAAATACGCTCATCCACATACATACACATGTACATACACAAACAACCATATATATATACATTCGCATAGACACACACGCAAAAAAAACAAAGATCGCCTTTTTTGGCCTATGAAAGACTTTTAGGGGGCGCAAGTGCTGATAATAAGCGTACAACTTTGCGTGTTAAAATTGCCATCCGTTTGTCCAGGAATGTCTTCGGCAGCATCTGGTTTTCAACTGGTGCGGCACTTGGCAGTTGGAGCTGCTGAAGATCCGTTTGTTCGGGCTCAGTCCATGAGCAGTTCCATCCAGACAATTCTCAACGAAACCACCGGCGGTAATTGCCCCCTCATCACGAACATGTTGGTACGGAACAAATGTCGAGTAGAAGACGACTGTAAGAGGTTTTTTTTTTTTCTCTCACAGCCGCGTGCGTAGCCCTCCGACGTGTCTCCGGGGGTTGTGCCGTCGCAGTGTTTGGTTGATATTAAACAATTTTTTGCCTTTCCATGCTTAGCGCCCTGAGAACGATTGTTTAAGGGCGCTTCATAAATGTAAATTATTCTTTTGGCACAACGTCTAATGTATGTTCTTGGTTCTTTCGGTAAAGTCACGTAGAAGGGAAACAATAAAATAAAAAAAATATAAAACAATAAAATTCTCACGACGTTTCGACTGCAACACAAGCAATCGTCACCTGATGTTTCCCTTCTATGTGACTTTACCGAAAGAACCAAGAATATGAATCCCTGCAGTCACGAAAGCTTTAAATCAAACTTTAACGTCTAATGTATTTGGTACGCATGCGGACAGCTTCTTCAGGAATTCAGTTCCTGAAAGAGCTCCCCAGTACGCGGAGTGAAACGTTGGCCATCGTGCCAAACATCCATGAGGAACAACTCGTAAACACTACGGAAGGCTATTTCGTACAATTTTTCATCCTTACCTTTCTCTCCATTTCAGTCATTATCAGTCTGCTGAGTGAAGCCACAATTGCAATGGAATCGCTACCCCAACAAAGAGGGAAGATGTTTGAAGACGACACCCATGACCTTACGCTTGGGTGTGAAGACCCATGCTTTCATCGTGACTGTGAGCTCCAAAATGCTGGGTCTGTGCAGGGTTCTGTGAACGTAACGGAAGATGGCCTGAAAATTACAAGCTCTCTGGAGATGATATCCAGCTTCGGCTCGACGCAGCGGGTTCTCAGATCTACCTCGGTGTTTAGCGATAGGCTAGAGGAGAACTCCGTTAAGCAGTTCCCGGTCTCGAATGTGAAGGTGGTTTTCCCTGCACTGGAAATGGAGGAGCCACAATCATCCGAGGGATTTTTGCAGGAGCGGGTGCATTTCCTGTGAGTTGCGTGCAAAGTCCGTGAGATGTGACTGCGATGGAGTTGATCACCGTCATGATCATCAGCCATGATAAATCCATGGATGAAAGTTTCTCCAAGCCGTCACCAATTTTCATAATCCTGTAATGTCGTAATTCACCGAGTGCCTACACATGAGCGGATTTCATCACTCCTTCTCCTCGGGTTGACATCCTCTTGGACACATTCCATTGCTCGGCTGCCACTCCATCATCATTCTTGGCCATTAGCCATCTCCATCCCTATTTGCCCAAGCCTCTCTTAACATGTTTAATGATTTTGATTTAAAGCTTTCGTGACTGCAGGGATTCATATTCTTAGTTCTTTCGGTAAAGTCACGTAGAAGGGAAACAATAAAATAATAAAAATATAAAACAATAAAATTCTAACGACGTTTCGACTGCAACACAAGCAATCACCTGATGATGACCTGATGATGATTGTTTGTGTTGCAGTTGAAACGTCGTGAGAATTTTATTGTTTTATATATTTTATTGTTTCCCTTCAACGTGACTTTACCGAAAGAACCAAGAATATGAATCACTTGCAGTCTTGAAAGCTTTAAATCAAAATGTTTAATGATGCCATGTATCTACGTATACATATTCTCTAATCCACGTGTTCCTTTTCCTGTCTCTCAGTGTAATTCCAAGGATGAATCTCTCCAATGCTTCGTTGCACACCTTTGAACTTTTGTTTCATTTGATTCGTTAATGACTGTGCTTCTGAGCCGTTTGTCATAGCAGGTGGCGCGATCTGATTCAGCTGCATCGCAAGGAAAAAAAAAAGTCGTACGCATGGAACAGAAACCTACGGTCTCTAAGTTTGTTTGTGAACGTTTGGGATCCAAATCAAATGTTTTTACCTTTTTTTTTTCCCTTCCCCCCCCGATCACAGCGAACAAGAACTCGTGGGCAAACAGCTGGAATTTGACGAGGAGAGGGAGAGGAATTTGAACCTTGTCGCAGAGCTCCGGAAGCAGATACGAGCCCTGCAAAGGGTAAGTCGCCTGTCAGAAAGACTTAGCCACAAAACAATCTTTGCAGCTGTTTTCCATATAAACTAAAATGAAATTAGATAAATAGTAAAGTATCCGGATTTAATGTGTGTAAATTGTGACTGCCAAAGTCGTCTTAATTGTTTAATGTGGACCTGAAATATATTTCCTGCGATCATAATTCCTTTAACGTGAGCACTTCAACCAAGCAACTGAAAAACACACCGTGTGCCACAGTATTAGCAGTCGTATTTGAATATGAATGTACGCTAGGTGTTGTGATGCTGCAGTACCTTTAAATTAGGTGACTTTTGTCATCCAATTCACCCTTTCCTCTTTTATCAGTGTTTGATTTGATTATTCTGTTCAGCATCTATTTAATACATTTTTCAATCAAGTATTGTTTTCTAATTGTCTCTATGAAAATCACAGTTTGTTCATTTTTAAAATGTTTGGGGAGTATTTAATAGGACACGTATTTGGCCTACTATTATTTGTTTGAGGTGCGTGATGGCTTGTGGGGGGAGTGGGTGACGTGCTTACCTGCATCTTCCACCGATCACCGAAACCGCCTTTCTCTGGGCTACATAACTCGAGTGTCCATCCCAGCAGTGCGTATCCATCGTTTCTTTTTTTTACTCAAGTTTGCTATGAATTAGAACTGCAAACCAAATCCTCTGGGCCAAGTTGCCTTCACGGGGAGGCCTAAATTCCCAACGCCAGAATTCTGGCCAAGCGGAAAATACATCACCAAATATTTGACACTAAAAAAAAATGTGATAGGTGGCCAGGACATTAAATGTAACTTTTAAATTAACATATATATTTTTAGTCAGCATGCGGCCTTGACATTTTTCCCCATCATCATCAGCCATGGTCAATCCACTACTGGATAAATGCTTCCCCAAGCTGTCGCCATCTCTCATGACACTGCGATGATATAATCCATCGAGCATCTGCACACGAGCTAAATTCATTGTTCCATCGCATTTATGATTTCATGCACACGCATTTCTTGGAAAGTCTTACTCGGAACTCATTCTGGGAAAGGCCTACCCAACTGGTGTGATAACTCGGCAAATCATGGACACGTCACTTTTTTTTGCCAACTGTAGTTATCTGTCTTGCGTTCCTGGAGACATCAGGTTAGCTCGGGGTCAGCATGGGTTGATTTGGGTTGGTTGTCCAATGGAGACAAGCTGCCAAAGAGCATCCTGTTGCAGATAGCAATACATTGCATGCATGAGAAACGTTTGTTCCATGCCTTACAATTATTTCAATTATTACCAAAGCTATTTGGTATTTTTGCTTTAAATTCCAATAATGCTTGTCATTGTCAAAAATGTATATAGGCAGTCTCCATAACTAATACGAGTCCTTCATCTTTACACCTACTCTTCGATCAACGACCTCTTAAGAATATACACACACACACATACATGTGTTAGATGTAAAACTGTCTACAATGACGCATATATCAAACTGTTTTTGCTACATCAATCCAAATTGTATTGTTTTTGGATAGAAAGTGCTTTATTGTTTTTGGATAGAAAGTGCTTAATGGTGGTGTGTGTGCATTTGACTGTGAGCAGAGTGCACTCGGAGACAACGCTTGCTCGCCTGAGGACCCAACCTCAGCTCAAATCTTGGAGTCCATTGTCTTCTTCACCCGGACCGACATGGAGCACAATGTTCGAAAGCTACGGCGAGGATTTTACAACAAGAAGGTCCAAAGAGGCCATTGTGAGGTAAATGCATGACCAATCATTCTTGCTGACGAGTTTCACCAGTAGGTGTGTGTGTGCTGGTGGGCCATGAATATATATATAAAAAAAAAAATACCAGGTAGTCCGCAGCGTTCTTTTCTCGCGCGGATTGCCGATACCAGGATGCGATGAGTGCGATGGAGAAGATTGTGGTTGCGCAAAGGAAGAGGCTGGTGTTGATGGCAGAACGCTACGTCGAGCACGTCAGCATGAAGAGGATCCGGGACAACGTCTCGAGGAATTTCGGCGACTCGCGCCCGGTGTGCGACCTGTTGGAAAGGATGGAAACTATGCAAAGCAAGGTACTGTACTCTGGCCGCTCATAACAAAGAAAACAAGCGTGATTGCATTCTCGGGAGCGTTTTTTTTCTCCTTAATTCAACTACTTTTTTTAAAAACAGGTATGAAAGATGCTTTCCTGTTTTTTGTACTGTTGCTTTTTTGCTGATAATTATTTCGGGAGAGGTTGGTTGGACGTCCTGCATTTTCAGCGACACAGGCACTGGTCCAAGCAGATGGCAGAGCTGAGCGCGTCAAGAATGCGCGCGGTGGAGCAGCTGACTCGCACACTGTGCGACATTGAGGAGGAGAGTGGACTGTTTCTTATTCGGCCGTACCTCTTCTGGATAAGCAGGTAAGGGTAGTTTCAAAGGCTCCATTGTGTGCATCGGTAGTCATATGACTATAGATAGAAACCGTATTTCTTAACAAAGTGAAAAATAATATTTATAGTATTCGCCGGATTGCAAGACCCTCTGGAAATTATGACGCACCCCGAACGTATGTGCTGTGTCAATAAAGTTGTCCAGATATGTTCATACACACACCTAGCAGATTATAAGACAACTTTTGCTTTAAAATACTTGTACAGGAGGGAAATAAAGTGCATCATAACCCACGTAATTATTATTATTATGCCACTAATTTTATGATCATATTCACTGCAATATTATTGTGTTTTGTTTTGTTTTGTCGGTCAGTGTCAAGTCCAGAAATTCTAAATGCAAAAAGGTGATGCATCAGCCTCTTGTGGAGAGACGATCGAACGCTTCGAATGTATTCTCGACTCCACCTCCCTCACCTGCAAAGTCGAATGCAGTCTCCTTGCAGGCAATAACAAAAATACCATCCATCATCCTTTGCTCCTTCAATGTTATACTGTGTTTTTGTTTTGCTTTTTGTTGAAATGCAACTATTGTGTGTGTGTTTTATTTCATGTTCGGAAGCAAGTGATGTCATTGTGTATTGGGTCGTATGAAAGATCCAGAAGAAGGGATTTTCTGTAGCACATCCGCGCTGAAGTGGTTCTGCACTTAATTTGGCAAAATTCCGTCTAAAATAATTAAGTGTCATACTGTTTGGTTCTTTCGGTAAAGTCAAATATTAAATTTATTTCTAACTACGTGACTTTACCGAAAGAACCAAAGAGTATGGATTCCTGCAGTCACGAAAGCTTCAAATCAAGAAGGAAGTGTCAGTTTGAGTATCGTGTGACGACCATTACACTCATATACGGTGGGAAAGTGCTGCCCTTCCTTGTGTGGACCAGAGGTTACTTCAAGGGATCTCGGAGGTAGCGTTTTGATACCCGCTTCCGTGGACCGTTCTCTCATATGAATTGTTGCACTGCTGTGCTGGCGTTCTGAATAGATGCATAGCTTCACGGCTCGATGCCCATAGTACAATTGGGATAAAACGTGGAGAAAATGACCCAATAAAATGTTAAAATAATTCGGCATCATTGTGTCAATGATCAGTATCGACCCCCCCTGCCCCTGCCTAAGGAATATAACATTTCCACCGATGGATGGGTCAAGGGTTGCTAAGAGTGATGGGCACCACCCCACATGAGCTTTGAGCATGCACACCAGTAGCCTATCACTGCCAAATGGTCAGGAGATGTTTTTCTTGCATTTAATGATCTATTGTTTACAGGGACATGGTGGGAGCAGCCTCCATGTCCAGGGCTCTTGGCTTTCACAGGGTTTACATTCTTCCTCCCTGAAGCTGGGCAATGCCTGCAAGAGAGGTCATGGGTCATCATTGTCATCATTGGCCAGCAGTCGCTGCACCTCAAGCACCATTGCCGATCCTCACTTTCACAAAAGGAGCCTCCAGAAGGCCCCCTGCCAGCAGCACCTTGTGAGGTTCGGAAAACCCAAACATTAAAACTCCAACACACCGGTGTGCTGAACTAGTAACTAATTGGAATGATTTGTTTACGTCACAAACGTCGCTAATTCGATGCGGCGGGTTTAACGACGCATTAATATTCACGCGACCTAACCCAAAAAAACACATCTATGGATTCAAACTCCTCTGTAGCTTTCCAGTGTTTTGAGGGCTGTTCCTCACGTTGTTCGTCACGATGTCCAACGTTTTGCTACAAATGCTGGTAGCTGCTTCAGAAACCGAAACGAGTTTCTGAAAAAGCTCCCAGCAGGGGGAGCGAAATGTCGGACATTGTTCTGGACAGCAAGCAGCAATATATACCGCGGAGCCATTCAGGACAACTGTGAACACTTATTTCGGATTATCAAAACTCCCTTAGCAGTTTGCTGCTCGAAGTGTCGTTATGGCGTAACCATTCATGGAATATGTTTGCAGCCCAAGACTTTCTCCTGATGGGGCAAAGATACCGACGGGATGCCAAGATGACGAAGGTCGACGTCTTCGGATATTTATAAATTCTGGGCAAACGACTGCATGCCAAGCAATGCAGCTGTCCTTCGTCAAGGGTAATTTACACTCTGGACTGATCATTCACTTGATATTATTAATTACGTGTGTAATCTGCGTGAGAGCGTTTGGCTAGCTGACTTGAATTAAATCACATTTGTTGTGTTTTGTAAATAAAAATCTAATAATATAGTGAGTCGTGCAAACTGAAAGGTTCGAGCAATTTTAAACCAACGTAATTGCAGGATGGGGTATTTTTCACACAAAGAAACATTGCATGCACTTTTAATATTTGTTTTATTTTATTGCCTCCTACAGAGAAACTCTCCCAGCGCACTTTGCCACCATTGCATGTGCTCGCCGACTTGGAGCCAAATAAGGACACAGCGCCGTGTTGATGAGTGGCCAACGTGGATATCCCTCGGAGCCATCGGCTTTCAGAGTAAATTAATAACACTTTGAATGACGTTTTTAACGTTGCGGCATTGACGATGTGTGTCTGTGTGTGCATACACGGCAAACTTACGGTCATCTTACGTAAGGTAATGTTTTCGCGTAGCAAACTCACTTTTTTTTCCTGTAAGCTCTTCCAACCTTGGTTGCACTTGCAGGACGTCTTGACCGAAAGCCTTGACAAGAGGTACCTGGTGCGAACCCCGAAGTGGAAGTTTAGTCCCAACTCCTCGGTTCTCCAGTGGGTTTGGCCAAGTGGGCTACACGAGCACATCACACCTACACCTCCGATTGGCACGGTTGGCTACATATAGTGCGAAAGAAGTTCAACACACATGCGTACATGTCATTCCCCAACTGCCAAGCATAGATTATTTAGCACGGCTTACTGTGGTAGTGGTAGCAGAATAAATAGGGCACTGCACGATAATTTTTTGGCGACCTGGGTTTGACTCCTATCCATGCGTGACATCAGTGGAGTGAGGTATCAATGTATGGGCCTCTGCTCAGTTATTTAATTCATGTGAATACGATGAATGTGGAGGAAGGTGACCAAACTCCATAACTCATTTTGTGCGTAGACCAAGTGTTGCTCAGTACCAGCATTTGCCTCCAAAACCTATAAATCCGCTTCCACACCTGAACGATCATTTCTACAACCAAATGCGCTTTAGGTCACCTGCAACCGCTTTGTCTGCATCAGAGCGAGTGGTCAGAATCGGCATCTTTATCTCGACTGCAGGAGGAATCCGATGAGCTACGAAGCTCTTTTCCACAGACGCCCAGTATGGGCCGGTCAGCAAAATGCAACAACAAACAATTACAATTGCCAAGATAGAGACAACGGTAAGGAAGTCACTGAATGGTAGTTACATGACAAAGGATTTTAAACGGGGATATTCAACATTGTAACGAGCAAATCGAAGTGCGCAAATGTGCAGCACGCGATCAACTGCATTGCGACATATCGCTGAGCGGATCACTTGTAAAATACGTGTGAGCAGCCGTGAGTGACCAATTGCAGAGACGTCCACATATAAGCGATTCAGCTGCATGCAACCGAGTTTTTGCCATTGATTGCTTGGTTGTGGACCCAGTTGCTTAAGATTATTCATATATGAAAGGTTGTCATAAAGTTTTTAGAAAAATATACAAACCATTTTCATATATTATATCTGAATTATAATCTTCATAGAAAATGCTACGTAGAAACAGTATGAAATAGAGCATACATTTTGAATGCCTTGACTACATAACTCTCAAAAAATGACATCTTGTATACATTTGTTCGTGCTATATCATCATCAAACATGATCAATCCACTGCTGGATGAATGCCTCCACAAGCTATCGCTTGTGGAGGCATTCCCACAAATACTATCAATAATGTATAAAATTTTGATTTAAAGCTTTCGTGACTGCAGTAATTCATATTCTTAGCTCTTTCGGTAAAGTCACGTTGAAGGGAAACAATAAAATAATCAAATATATATAACAATAAAAATTCTCACGACGTTTCGACCATAACACAAACGGTCGTTTTTCAGCTTATTGTTTTTTGCACTATCAGTCTCAAAGTTAAATTGGCGATTATTGTGTAATTTCACTTGGAAATGTTGACTTTGGCTGGCCTTCTTCAAGAAAAAAAAGTGTGTACTCGTGCCTTTAAAGTTTCTAATTGGATAAAAAGCGTATGCATGCGTTGCAGTTGACATGCTGGTCAGATGGGAAATGCGTGATTAATTTTCAGGGCATTTAAATGCTCATTACAAGTGTAACTATAATGAAATTAAACCGTGGTCATTTCTTCAGATTAAACGTTTTGTCCCCATAGGTGTGTGGAATCATTTCTGAAATTAGACCACACTTAGATGTGAAAAGCGATGGCTTTGGTTTAACACCAATGCTGACTGATGCACATATAACATCGGCAGAATGGATACCGTGGGAATGATATTTTTGGTTCCATTGTCCTTCACTTAAAGTTTCACAGTTGAATACCCATAGAATGCAACTGTTGACCATAGTGTCTGTGTGTGCAATTTGCGAAGAGGCAGAAATTCCGTGCATTTTTCGCGCTCGGGTAATAATTGTACGGGGTTTGCATTCGTGCGCCTTAATTTGCGTTGATTTTTTTTGTCGTCGTGGAAAATGGATACTCCTTTTTGTTGGCTATTGGGTGAGTTGTACTGTAATTGCCATGACATTCGGGGTAACCTAATAGCTTTGCAGCAGCATCTCAGGTACACGCAAAAAAACGCGTGCTAATCATCGTAATGGTTTCTTGTCACCACGGTTGTGGGAATTATTGTCTCAGCTACATTTAAAGCATGGAAACTAAAACGTAAAATGACGTGAAGTTAATTTTTTTCGAAAATATATTTTTTGCATAGTTTTTGGTTTATGTCATATGTACCATGTCTTCTTTTGCATCGAATATGTTGTAAACGCCCCGTACATGTAATTAAACTTTTGTTAGCGAAACGAACACACAGTTGTTTTTTCATCTCTTGTTTAAAATGATCATTAAATATTCAATGCCATAGGTGCTACTTCTATTTCTATAATAATATATCGCAATGTTTTTAAAGCTTTTTTAAAATGATGAATTTCATATATCACTGGCACGCACTCAACTAAAATGTCTCAGGAGCCCAAAATGTATTATATTACGTTAATTAATTTTACAAATTGTATAGCTGTTCAAAATGGCTTGCGTATTTTTTTTTATTTGGCTGCCATATGGGTATTAATTTTAAGACCATATTGATGATGGTGCCAAAATACATACAAAACGCTTTTTGTTACTTTGGCCAGTGTGAGGACACTGGAGACGAATTTCATAGGAAACAATACTTGCATTGATTTTTTTGCTCGTAAACATGAATTCGGTAAGTATAAACCCATCTGCACAACTTGTTTAGCAACGAGCAGTTGTTTCTGTTGTGAAATAATACAAGACACAATATGGGTTTACTCTGGGATCTCAGACATTTGGAATCTGAGATAAAGTGAATAGGGCCTTAGGCTCTTGCCAGTCATTCAATTTTTTCTGGTATTTTGACCACAAGGCCGAATGTGTTTTGCACGAAGGACTTCTGGGGATGCTGGGTTGTGGTGGGGGGGAGGGGGTTGGGGGGGGGGCGCTTTTGGGGGTGGAAACGAAGCACAGGTCAAGTTAGGTTGACCTCTTAATTTTGGATGTTTTCTAAATGATGTCATGCCACTGCGTCCGACCTTGTAAGGGTTGATTACAAACTTTTTTTTCAAGCGTTGCGCTTAAAAAAATTCCATATGGTTTGGTTTAAGTTCTGTGTCTGACGTTGAATGGTACGCACTTAGTTTTCTTCAGCAGAAGATGGCATGCGCTTCAGACGTATTTTGTGGCTTTGTGTCATTATGCAGGACCGTAAATGAATACACAAGAGAGTGTCTCACCCGAAATCATAACAGTGATTTGTTTTTTTGTCTTTCAACAGCACTCCTTACATAAAATCGTTTTGACGCACGCTCATGTTTGTGTTCTTCCTTTTGTTTGACCGACGTTTTCAGCACATTAAAATTTCATGCATGTAAATGTTTGCCCTCTCGTACAACGTGTAATCGCTTATCTCAGTGTGTGCACGTGCATTCTGCAGACCCACCAGATGGCAGCAGTCTATAGCGATGAGTAGCAACAATGTGCTCTGGAAAATTGCTGCAAAAGAAAATAATATTCAAAATAAAGTAATCGAGTTATAAAGTAACGTGTTTGCAGGTTATACGTGCTAGTTGTTTTTTCGGTCAATCGTTGATAATAAAATGTTTACATACAGTCAAACATGTCATCACTTGGAAGGGAATCGTGTTATTCTGCAATAGGCTATAAACTACCATATTAGCCATGTTAACAGTCAGTGCTGCTCTTGTGCTAGCCCTGAAATTATTTTTCGAGTGGCTGGCTACGGGTCAGATGTAAGCTGTCTTAATGTATAATATGACTTTAACAGACCCCTTCATATTGGCAGTCAATTGCCTTGATGGACATGCCTCACACTTTGTGCTGTGCAAAGAGTGTATATATAAAATAAGTGCATATTTTACCTCGGAGGCACGATCATCGCATTAAGTGTTTGGTTAAGATTTTTCCCTCGTTGCATAGTTATGCGGCACACGAGAAACAAAATTAAAAGCAGGCGGTGGAAAATTAGATTTCTCTGCTTCACTTCACGTTCGGGTATTTATGTTGCTAATGCAGTTCTTGCCCCTGTGTACAATTTTAAGCCCACCGCTGTAGCTACGGAAACGAAGTGAGTTGGTCTGTTTGGAATTTCCCGCCCCTGGGGGTGGGTTCGCGGATTGACTGCGGAATGTGATGCGATTTCTGCGAGGCTTTCCGCATGTGGTTGTGGGGTCTAGACGATGCAGCAGGGGAAGAAAGAGCGAGAGGTCCGCTCTTGGGATGCCACGACCGTGCCGCAATTAAGCCTGAATGCAGCGTTGATGTTGGCTATAAAATGTTTGTTTTTTTATGAACTGTTACGGGTTTTTAACATGTTTATTTTGTCCCAGCAAAGATTCCAAATTGGAAGCCGCCATTTGGAAGAAATTCCTGCAGTGTCTGTACAAGTGCGATGCAAAGTTCCGTGAGGGAAATTACAGAACATTATTTTGGCAAAAGGAACGGTCTCATTAAAGACATTAGAGGCGCATGAAGAAAAAATGTGCACAAATGACATGTTATTTATTCACAAGCAAACCCAAAGATTTATCGAAGAACATGGAAAACCTCACAAATCAGATGTCATCATTCAGCTTTAAAAAAACTGTATGATCATTAGACTTTAATATTCGTGGGTCAGACCTGACCTAAGTGTGATTGGAATGGCAGGAATTAAAGTGTGTAAGTGCCCAGTGTTAATTGGTTTTAGTCCCCCCTTTTACTGGTCTGCCATTTTTCTAAAAACTTGGCCCATAATCTCACGGCATCTGGCAAGCTCTGCTGTGCACCAGTATGTGACTTCGCTTGACGTAACCCTTTAAAAAACCCACTGCATCCATGATTCCTTTTGATGTCATTCTCTTGAGCATTTGAAGATAATAGGATCCATGCATAAAAATACTGAACACGTTCATCAATAACACCGACTTAAGATAGACATTTATAATAGGCGACGTTTCGGGTAAAGGGCCTCATTCATAACGGGCCACTGACCCAAAACGTCACCTATTGAGGCAGTGCTATTGACGAGCAAGGCTTTTTTACTTGTGCACCATTTCAAAGGCTGCATCGCCAAATTACATGCATTAATTTGCACCAGGTATAACAATGCTAATATTTCACATTGCTGTTGTAAGAGGTCACTGTTACTGCCATATTTACAAAAATATTATTAGCCAAGCGTTGGAACGTGTTTGGAATGCATCAGTTTAACTATCTCCACAGTATTTTAAAATTTTAAACGTGCTTGCTATGCCAAGCTATAATGGCTTGAACAAATAAATGCAAACCCACATTGCATGTCAACCATTTGCGACGAATGTCACAAAACAATGAACCAAGTAGACACATAGCAGCGCTGCATTTTTCCAGGGCACACTAATATATGGAAGATACATTATTTGTTGATATTGGCAGCGGTGCACAAGCACAAATAATATTTTTTTAAAAACTCAACACGTTCATCAACCATACTGCCTTCAAAATAGAGGCCAGAGATGTAGAGTTGGTTTCTGTATCTCACTCTACCTCTCGGGCTAGTTAGGGTCACTCAACTTCTACAGCCTCTATCTGCTGTGAAGAAGGGCCATTGCCACGGTACACTTCTTTTTCCTTTTAAGGCCACTGTGTTATTGACATTTTTTTAGTTTTTTGTGTAATTTGGGAGTATGTTGTACACAATGCTGTAGTCGCCTGGCCCTGGTGTTTTAACTTTATTTGGCCAACACATAATTATGTTCTCTAGTTTACACAAACATTTTTAGTTTGGCAGGTTATCTCATTTACCCCCCCCCCCCCCCATAACATGTAAAGTTTCAATCGCATCATCTGCATTATTACATAAATGTCACCACTCATTTTGTCAAATAACCAGTCCCGTCGCGTTCTGATGTTTTTTTTTATTATTATATATGTTGCATTTTCTTCGATCCTTTTACATTTTATATACCATGTTCTGTTTAGTGTATTTTTTTACTGACTGGTGCTAAATGTGCACCTGCTAACATTATATATAGAATGCTGGCTTTGTGTTGATACCTGTGGTGCCATATGCATTCATTTAAAACGTCAGCAATTTTCACTCCCGATCGCAGTGTTTTCAGGGCAAGCACACCTGCACATTGTTGGCTCGTAATAAGCACAGTGGAGGGGATAAATTAATAGCGTGTGCAAACATTAAACAGTTTATTTTGGACGTAGAGGTCGTCTAAGTGGTTAAGTCCTCATACTCCTGTGTAGGTGTTGTGGCAGGGTTCTTTAAATGTCTATAGCCGCAACGACAACAAAAATAGTTGGAATGATGTGCGGTTTTTTTTTCTTCCTGCGTGTGGTCCATATGCCGTGTTGGTGTGCCACAGACGTGTGCAGACACACCTCTCGGATCATAAGCGTAACATAATTTTGACCCGCATTGTTTCGAGATGAACATCTGTGCTCAATCACAGTTGCTTTTGAACTGGTCATAAACGTCCTGGCATGTATCGCGCTGTGCTTTAAAAGAGACATGCCCTACTCGATAAAAAACGTTATCTTCTGTACTTTTTCGGATGTGATATCCATTGCTGTGCACCCCCTCTCAGCTTTACATTACACGAGGGCATTGTGGTGTATATGCACGTGCATTCATAATAATCAGCATTTTTTCTTCATGCGCCTCTAAATAGAGGGGCCATTATATGTAAGTTAAATATAATGATTACAAATTGCACCTGCACTTTGCAATCGTCAGCTAGTCTGAGTAATTTCTGCACTGCGTACAGAATGGGCGGTTTGTGTATGCCGGTCAGGTGTGGCACAGTGGAGAGTAAAACTGGTTTCAAAAATTCAACATTAATTTAAAGGGTTTAAGATGAATCAATGTAGGGATACACAGAAATTCGTTTTACATATGGCAAGCTTGCAATGTGTTGAAGATAAAGAGGAAGGTGGCTATCTAATCTGTGCATAGAAGGAAATTAAAGCTGAAGTTTATTTATTTGCACTCATATTAATATAAAAAAGATATAAAACTATCTGCAATACCACAGACAATGGAACACTTGACTTTGAGCATAAAACAGACTAAGACGTATTAATGGGATGATTAAAATTGTATTGTGTTGTAATAGTGAATTGTGGGTAATGATATCTCTTTTAACATGTAAAGATCTATCGGCTTATGCACGTTCCGAACCTATGTTTTGCAGAAGAATGTGATCAAGCAATCTAACGCTTGACCGATTTCTACTTTTTGGGTCTCATCAGCAGAGTGTGGCGTATTATATTTGAATGCTGCTGTGTGGCCTGAT